TACATAACATTATTGAGAAAAACAGAACATGGCCTGCACACACACGCATGCATGCACGCACGCACTCACGCATGCACTCGCACACACACACACACACACACACACACACACACACACACACACATGGATAAAGAGACTCATGCATGGACGCATAGGGCCTACATACACTCACATTAAAGATCAATAGATGCATAGATGCATGGTGGGTATATGTATTTTAGAATGCAGAACGACTTCAGCTTCATCATCTTCTTGAGACAGAAACCATCAAAAGCAGCAGCTTACGAATGCAAGTTAATGAGTTCCCACGGCGAATCAATGATGAATTAGATGGTAAGTTGAAATATTCACATTCTGTGTAGAATGCATAGAAATTTAGTACTTATATTATTATGTGTGGCAATCAGCATATAGGATCTGACATTGTTTTAGTACTTGCAATTATTTCAATTTTATCATATACATAATGTAAACTATCGTGTGAATATTATAGTTTGATAATGTGACAGCAACATAATTCCATAGCTCTGTGAATATGCATTATGCTTTCAGAGGTGATTAAAAATGCAGAGGAAATAAATGCTTGCACTCTCCAAGAAATGCAGAGTGAAGTTGATGCTATAGGAGAGAACATCAAATATCTTGAGGGCAAGCTGAAAATGCTCAAGGATGAAAATGCTGAACTCCAGTAACAGTTTTAGTTTTCATCTTTAAAATGTATTAATGTACAAAGGTTTGACCATTTGGTTTAGCATTGTATCATAGCACTAATAATAAGCCCAATCTAAACTTGTCTTTTAATGTTTTAGCAATGTGTTGTAAATAGGAATGTATTTATTGCTTGGATAGGGATATGATCAATATTAAGCTGATCACCTTTCAACCATGTATAATAAGAATTATTTTATTATTTATTTACATATATGTGTAATTAGTTTTAAAATGATGTTTACAAAACCTTTTGTTTTACTATTTACGTAAAGTAATAAAACTGTCGATTCATGCAGACCAAAGAGTGAACAGTTGAAGCAGCAACATCAAGAGGTTATGAACAGCTATAATAATAGCATGGCGGAAAAGACGAGGTATTCATTTCGTGATAGTGCACCGTAAATATTCTGATAATAGATCATAGACCATCTATAAACCTTCAAGGTGAAATTTATTGTAAATGCTATCTAGTCCCAATTGTGCATAAAAGACAATAGTCTTAGAATTATACATTATAATTATCAGCTAATATAATTGTATTATGACTATTAAAAGTTTAATTAAAAATGAGTACTCATCTACAGGATATACAAAATTAAAAAAATTTATCTTTCAGCAAACAGATCGGATGTAATGAAACATGGGAACAGATAAAAGATACCAATAAGAAGGTAACCATGTAATAGTAATTTTCCATGAAACTCAGATATTTCTATAAAATTTGGTTACCTAAATGTGGGTAATCTGTAGAAATTACTTGACTTCTAAATTCAGATTTTGGTAGGCATGCTTGTCAACTCAAAAAATGCTGTAAAACAGAAAATTCATTTATGAATGGTCAGAGTAAAATAAGCAGGAGCAGTACTAACCACCAAAGTAGATAGAGTCGTTTCTTCTTGTGGAATTAGATCTTCCTTAATTCCATTTTAGTCAATATAGGTGAAATACATTAGTATAGATTTCATAGAATCCAGTGAACACCTGGACTCTGTGTATACTGTGAGGCAAGGAAGGCATTGAGAAAGCAATTGCCTGTGATATTTTTAGTTGATTAATTATATTCTTCATAATAAATGGTAAATAATCTCTCATTACTAGCAAGGAAATTCACCATTTCAGACGTTGCAAGCAGGCAGGCCAAACCCCCAGCTCACACCTCTTTGCCACTTGCTTAACTCGCCTCACCAGACCTAGCCTCTGCTTCACCTTATCAACAATTTGCTTGTCAGCAACAGCTATAAATATGGCAGTTATAGGGATTAGATTGTGTGCTGTAGTTGGATGCCATCGCTGACTAATCACAATACTCACAGATCGCGGACCTAGAGGAAGCCATCATTATATTACAAGAAGATTTAGTCGATGAACAAGAGGAGGCTGTGCGTGAACAACAGCGGATCCTGGACATGGTGGTACAGTCCTAAGAGTGGTTACTGCATGGATGTAATGCAGCTTTTGTGGACATCGCTAGTCAAACATCGCAAACTGCAAATTTCTCAGCAATAAATAACGATTCATCATACGTTTAATTCTAAATAAGTCACTTTACTAAAGTATTGCCAGTGTTGTTGTATAAAGGGTTTTTGTTTGTATATAAGCATGGCATTGGTTTTTTTTTCCATACAAGCAATGATTCTCTACCAGTTATATTAGAGCAATAGATAATCTAAGTGTATTTATTTTACAGGCGGATACAACAGTGAATGTAAGCGAGCAAAAAGATGTAAATGTTGCTAAGAAGAGGTACGTATCTATTGTAAATAAAGTCGTAGCAATACGACTTATACTTGCCTTCTAAAATGCTTATTTGTCAAAGGCTTTATTATTTCCACAAGTATTTCAAGTCACGCCAGAAATATGTAAGGGTATCATATATATCCAGTGTAGTAGCTGTATCAGGTTTCCTTGCTCGAATCTTCTTGTATTCTTTCAGTGAGTTGGACAAGCTCCTTGCTGACCTATCCTGTAATACATCGAAGCTGTATTCTATCAAGAAGGTGACCACGTTTGCTCTTGTGCTTTGCTTTAAACAGCATTCTAATCGCCCATATAGTAAGCTGGCTCCTCGTGTGATCAATTCTTTTTAGACGTGAATTCCTGATCACAGATATAAAGATTTTTATTGTGGCGATATATGCATCTCATATATGTGGAAATGGCTTCATTAGTAATTCCTTGGTGTACGGAATTGGTAAGCAGTTATCTGAGCTGGTGCTAACCTGGTCTTTTAATGTGTTATTGTGCCCTACTGAGATCAGTCAAAAAATAGGAATAGGAAAGGATACAAAATATATTTAACACTTGTTTGGGTGTTTTTTTCCCAGAGCATACAGAGTCATCATACTACCTTGAAGAGGCTAGGGAAAAGAGAACAGAAGTTAGCTGAGCAGTTAGAAACTGGCCAGGGCCAAATAAAAAGATTTGAAGATGAGGGGTATTGTAGATATTTGTCTTTGACCTACTTTAAATGATGCTTTCATGCACCTGTAATTTTAATATTGAACCCACTTTTGCTGAAATTCTTGTGTGAAAACCATACCACATATATAGAAACCTTCACTTCTGCCACTGACTATTTGCTTTATTTATTTGCTATTCAATCAGAGCATGCTACAGAATAAATAGAAATCAGGAATTGCACAAATAGGTTAATAAAGATAGAAACAATCAATTGTCAACTCAAGGTAGTAATTTAATACAATTACCTATACACCCATCACTTGAGATTTTAATGAGAATGAACTAAACGATTTTCACGTTTTCTGCTGGATCATATTAGCACCAAAATTCGGTCGCGTACTGCAGAATTGCATGCCGAATTTGAAAAGAAGATGACGGACTGTAAGAGTCAGTTAGTTGAGGTAGCTACCCTACTACTACACTACCCTACTATACTGTGGTAATTCGTTTCTATTGGACTATCTGTAAATTTAATTGGAGCATAACCATCCTGATATATTTTTCTAGCACAATTTTATATAAATATGTTATTCTTTAGCACTTCATATGAGCAATTATGGTTATATGGTCATGTGGTGTTTATAGTATTGTGTTAGCTTTAATAGTTTTAAATGACATCTCTTTTGGATTAGCACTCTCGTTATTTTAGCTAAACGATCGGATTGACACGGAAACAGAAAACGACAAGAAACTTTCAAAGTATAGAAGAAAAGTTGAGAAAGGTACAAAACTGATCACATTATATCATAACATCATATCACATAATTAATCTTTTTGCCACACATAATCAAGCATGATTACCCTCATATTACATGATAGTTATGTGTATATGTGATATAAGTGTGCGTGTGTATCAATTATACTAGACTGTTATAATAATTCTTGATATTTTCTTCAGTGTATTAACACTTTGATAGAATCAAGGATGTGATAGGTATCATGAATATGCTCTTATATGTGTATTCTGCATGCAAATGTTTACATTGTGGTAGCTATTTCCTTGAGATCATTGAATAAGCAAACGGTTCATGTTTGCTATCAAAATATGATGGTTTGAATAAGCGACTTGCTAAATTATTATTTTACGTGGCAGTAAACAATAGAGCTACATTCATAATCATTCCAGGCTATGGTTATGTTTATTCCAAGCTTTTCTTATCAATGTTTGTCATTTACAGAACTGAATGAGATCACAAAGCTTAAAGCTCAAAGTACAGCAAGATTACAAGAACTGAAGAAATCGTAAGTGTTTCTGAGAAATAAAGATTAGATTCAAATGCTAAAACATTATTTTTGATAACACATGCTGTTTTCAATAAAATTTATCTAGTCTTTGTAGATACATCACTTGAGTAGATATGAAAAGGGTCTACAAGAATGTTTTGCATTATCAAAACCTGCTGAAACACCTAAGAATTATCTGTCTGTTATAAATATGTATGTAGCGAAAAACCCGTTCTCAATCCTCATTGTCCCGGCTGCTGTGTGTAGCCATCAGAAGATCAAGAAAGATATATCGGCAAAGGCACAGGAATGTGGTCGCTACTCTATGGAAAACTCAACCATGGAGATTTCCATGGACCAGGTGCAGGAGACCCATCAGTAAGCTTTGAAATTACTTTGTTTATATACGTAAAAACTTATGTATACATAGGTTTTAAACTATGGATTATTTGAAAGATGCTAATGAATTTAGTGGACTTGTGCAGCTGCTCTTGATGTCAGTGGTGTTTACCTTTTGTACATAATTGTGGTGTGCATGGTTCATGTATAATTTACAACTGCATCACTTTAACACTTATAGGATTGAAACAACACAGCTGAACATGAACTTCGATGTACAGAAACAAAATCAGGAAAAGGATATTAAATTAAGGTAATCACATCAATTTCAATAATATCATAATTGTTGTCTAATATTCAATAAATCAGCAAACAATAATTGTGGATATTGCCCATCAGGCACTCTATCACAAATAAATCACCATGGTTATTTGCCATCAATCAATCAATGATCAATCACTTACTGGTGGTATCATCAATAGGGCCAAACTGCAGCAGGACAGAAATCAGCTTCTCAGAGATACGGACCAGTTTAAACAGGAGCATCAACGATTCATGACGAACACAAACAATCGCCTCGACGAAGCCAAACGATGCGAGAGTGATCTCATAGCACAGGTGTGTATATGTAACACATGCACACACATGTACGCATGCATGCACGCACGCACGCACGCACGCACGCACGCACACACGCACGCACACATGCATGCACGCACACACATGTATATAAAATAAAAACATCTATAGTTACAGGTGAAGTTCAAGTTCTTTAAAGTTGGCATGTCAGTAATAGTAAATATAGCCTCATGATATCAAGGTTATTGCTTCAGGCAGCGGGGCTGAGCAAGGCTATATCTGCAGCAGATACGACAATAGCAGAACTCACTGAGGCACTAACCACTGCTGAGCAGGAGTTTGAAAGTATGAAGAGCTTCAAACTTGAGCAGATAGATAAACTAAAGGTGAAATACAGATGTCTTGCATGGGTTATGCCACAATTACTAGGAAGTTATTTGTGTTGAATGCAATGGGATCACACTAGTGTTCAGAAATCTGATACCCTTATTATCATGGGAAAGCAATGTCACTGAACTTTGCCATTAATCAACTAGAGATCACTTTATTCTGAACACATTCCTCTACAAAGGGCAACTGTAGTAATATTGTTCCATCATAAATGGGTTCTATTTTTTGTAATATGAATCAATTGTTACCTCTAGATAAGATTATTGTATACATATAAAATGTAACTGATATTGCAGTGTTTTTACAAAGCTGTACACATGCAAATATTTCACGTGCACATAACGCTTATGTATAATTACCTAACAGGAGAGCATTGCAATCAGCAAGAACACTGCTGAAAGCAAGAGGGAATTACTGGTGAAAATGCAGACAGAGGTCTCAGATCTTGAGATTACTTTCAACAATATGTCTGCAGAATATAATGCAGTAAAAAAGAAATTAACAGGTACAGTATCTATTATGTAAATCCAACACACCGGGTGGCAATGGTTATTGCAGCAAGTGATTAAAATTATTAAAAGCAATGACGACAAATAAATTGAAATGTGTTGTTCAAACAAAGAACATTTTTGTTAATTAAAACGGTGATTGGTGCCCAAAAAGTCCTATTTACTTACGAACCTGAAGTCGACCACAACCATCGCTTATACTGTTAATAACACACATAGTAATAATACTATTAAAAAAACATTTTCGCACGTGTTACGTGATAAGTCATGCATTGATATCGCTAATAATGCCTACAATAGGTAAGAACAATAATCGTTTTAGTATGATGCCACTTATTTATATTCACGTTAGATCTGCGAAGCAAGAAAATTTCTCTGGAGGTAAAGATCAAGAAGGCAACGAAAACTATTGAAGACATAAATCAGACAAAAGTAAGTCAGTTCAAATACATGACTAAGTAGATTAGTTGTTAGCGAAAACGCCGAAAACATGTAGTCATCTCCTACCTGTAATTTTTTGAATATTTCGTGAAATGCAACTGAAACTAGTAAGAAACACAATCATGTTTGGGTATACAATATCAGTTGTAACAGCTAGATCTGTTTCGACAGCATTGTTCGAATTACCCTGGCAACAGCTGGAGATCTGATAAAGCTGTCAGATTTATGGACCACTTGCCCGTATATCTACATGAGTAGTGGGTGGTAGTACCAGTTATTATAGTTCTGCATGATAATCTGTGTGTTATTCCCGAATGGCAGGAAGAGAACATCGCTCGTCTGGATGTTGTGAGGTCTGAGTATGTTCAGCTTGTCCGGCAGGCCGGTAAAGAAATGCTAGCCATTGAGCAAGCGATCCGTCAACTCGCCTGCAAACTCAAGATCATCACCGAGGAAAACTCTAAACTGGAAAAGGTGTGGACTTAATTCGTAGACTAAATCTTTCTCATATATACCAACCTCGTCAATTTGTTATCGATGACAATAAGTTCAGAGGCCACTGGAAACGAAGGCCTTGAATGAGAAATCCTATTCGTGGTATTAAATAATTTGCCATGCACGCACCTGCGTGAAATTTGCAGGCAAAAGTGGGCCTGCGCCGTGGGTAAATGAGCTGGCTGTAATGTGTAATGACACTTCATCATAGAACATTTATATAGGTCTATTTTCTGCACGAATGAGATCTATTTGTGTTTTGTGTTGTAGGTAATTTTAAATAAGCTATTCTCATCTTTATCACAATCGTTTTTTAGCAATCGTTGCATGCCTATTTCATCGATTTATACAAAATTGCATTAAAAATTAATTGCTTTACATGTCTTTGCATAGAAAATGGGAGATTTGAAAAAAGAATGCTCTGAACTGACACAGTGTTCCACCTTTAATGAGAATATGAAAATTCGCCTTTCCGACAGTGTCACACTGTTATCAGGTATGCTATATATAGCTGTTGTAATTCCTTGCTTGAGAGTTTGAACATGTTCTACAATAGTTGCACATCGTTGCTCTTCAAGTTCTCTTTGCATCTAGAATTATATGAAGTAAATCTATTCTATCAAGAAAACTGGATGGCTTATGGTGCCGTATGTAAATACTCTTCAGTGCGGCTTTAATATTTACTAATGCAAGTCGCACCTCTCGTTTTTCAGAAGCCTTGACTGAGAAATGGGCTGAGGGTGACATTATTTTACAGGTACACGCACTCTTGTATGAATAAATATGGTATAAAAGCTCGGATCACAAGCCAATTCACAACAAGTTTTGAATTGGTGCTAAAACAGTTACATGTATTCGATTTATCAGTATTTATTTCGTCAGTATTCAGTCTTGATTTTTCATGAGCAGGAATGCGGTGTAAGGGATGAGACACTGATAAGTCAACTAGGTGATGTCCTCTCTGATGTCAAGATACGAGAGAGTCAACTATCATCGGTCACGAACAAAATGCAGGAAAAAATCTCGGAGTTCGCCTCCTTTATAGAGCAAGTAGACATGAGGAGACCCCTACCTGGTATTTATGATATAAAATAGCCTATATATTTCTTAACTATATACATGCAGAACAAATAAAAAATATCAACATTACAGTCTAGTACTCATAACTTGTGATTGCTTAAGGTCATGACCCACGTACTTGCCTCATAAGCATAGATTACCTTGTCTGCACTGTGAAAGGTTATTTTATGATTTATACACCCGATAGACAACTTTGGAAGTTTGCACCCAGATTGCAGCTGCTACAGGGCAAAATCAGACATTAAGTTGCAATCCCTTTACCTTTGCATCTTGACATACTATTTACTTGACTCACTTAAAAGAGCTGTGCTTGCACAGATGTGTGTTGTAATCATACACGTGTACAACACATGCACTTATAACGTTGGCACCACTGTGATATTTGCAGACGAGTTGACCATGGAGGATACTGGAACACAGTTTTCCTCTAAGAAGTGCAAGTCTTCGAAGGCAAAGTCAATGAAGCCACTTAAACATAAATGCAAGCTTCGGGGAAAGATTACTAAGAACTAGTGGCAATTATATCAAACTGGGAATAGAAACAAACAAATTCAAACAAATTATGTGGTAATTCACCATAAGCCAGTAAAATGAGAATATTATCCTCAGGTGTTACTGTAATACTAATTAGAGTAAATATGAATTTATCTATTACCAGTAAACTATGTAGCCTTACTGGAAATGAATTAACTCGATCTCATATGGGTAATATGCAGGCTCTCTATTGCAAGTTATTTTCATTGGTTATTTGCAATTTTTGTGTCGGATAGGAAGGATGTGGGTATTCGTTACTATTATTTACTTTATTTATTACTATTTTGTATTTAGATATGTACAAATGAGGAAAAATAATATGGTTATAGCTTTACAATTATATTTTTTATTTTAAAACATTTTTAAACATGTCACCCATGTAATAAATATTCAATAGAGCCAATGATCAAACAACAAATTATTCAAGTTTTACTTGAAGAAAGAATAAATAATAAATACATCTACGGTACACTTGTTAATTACTCTTATAGAATTTTCTGTCAAAAGTTGACAAAGGACAGACCAAATTGGAAAAATATGTCATCATTAACAACCACAGTCACCATAATCTATCTCCACGAAGTCTGCTCGCCAATTTCATGTCCTTCACCATGAGAGTAACTCTTTTTGCATGTAGTGTGCAGAGGTTTGAGTCTACAAACAGTCCAACTAGGTATGCCTCACAAGCTTCCTGCAAATAAACAGACTCATTGTATCCCATGTGATTATTTTTTGGACTTGATATTTGTCTGGAATAGTAGACATAGTAGCATTGGGTGCAGTAGCGCAGCAGCATTATAAGATCACTGCTACCTTATATTATAACACTCGAGTATGGTATCAATCCAATCATTTTACATTCATGTTCTGTTGTTAGTGATAACAATATACTTATTAAGAAAAGTAAACAATTTACACTACACCGTGATCATATATGGACACCAGTGACTAGGCAGTTAAATATGATATTTTTAAATTTTTAAATCTTATAAACATTTAAAATTTTAATATGGATAGAGTGCCTATACCTGCAAAGCAAGCAATGCATTTGTCCTTATCCTCAGTTGTCCATGGTTCGCCAGCACGATGTCCTTTACTAATCGCTGGAAGGGAAGCTTCTGAATAATCAGTTGCGTGCTCCGCTGATATAGCCTAATCTCACTGAGTGCTACCTCACCTGCATCAAAATGTGAAACATGGTACATACTACAATAGTGAAAACAGACATTCTTATCATAATGTCAGAGAATCTGTTATGTATAGTTAACTCGTTAAAATACACGTTTCTAACGAGAGTACATGTATGCAGTAGTACTGACAGCCTAGGCCTACATACCGCATGTAATGTTGCGTGCCTACCTGGTCTAAATCTTTTACTTTTAGGTTTTTCCTTGGCGATTAACGTGGAATCTCCACCTCCATCATGTTTAACACCGACTCTGTGAGACGAATTATCGATGTCATTATGTCGGCGAGGCTTTGCTTTCCTTCTGCAAGTTCTTGGCACGATGAATGAACTTTTGACAGTTTTGTTAGTTATAACGTTACTGGTGTCACTTACCGCTGTTGCACTCTCACTGACGAGGACAGTGGCTTTATGTGAAGGTGCTTTAAACATGACCATGGCTATCGTACAATGTAGCTTGATTTTATTATGATTATGTAGCTTGATTAGTTAGATAAAAACATTTGAATTGGTTTCATATCGTCTGCTATGCATCAAAATCGTGGTGCGTGACACTGACAGCCAATGTCAGCGCTCCTCCTATTTTTGTATGATACTTCAACTGTTATTTAAATAAAAGGTCTCCCGTAGATAGCACAGGGATATCCCGGAATATATATAGGAAGAGAGGCACATACATAACATATATATAGATAGATAGGCAAGAGCTAAAAATTATGGCATATTTCTCATATTAGCAGCAGATGGCGCCACTGATTAGAAAAATGGTAGCTACGTTAAGTAATGAAGAGTGATACTGGTAGTAAATATAAAGATTTAAATTTAGATATTAGATGTTCACCGGTTAATATATGTGTATTTTAACTAATGCACATAATAATAATCATATTTAGCATATTTGTATTCGTGTGTCACTTTGACTATGTGTTTGAAAAGTTACCGTTTAGACAGTGTTGTTTTGTTTAGACACTTCACTTGCGGTCTTTCGTGCAGTTGCGTGTTGACATATGATATGATTCCTATGTCTATCCATAGATATAGAAGAGAAGAACCCATCATTGCATAATCATCCATGTCATCTCTAGAACATGATTATATTATCGTAATGAACTATATACATTGTTTCTCACAGGTCAGTAGGACATGATATGTAGCACCTGTGGCCAGCGTTAACCATGCTTCACCAACGGAAGCGTCGTGATAACTCCAGCATAAACCATTGGCTCGACAAGTTGAACGTGAACGGCTTGGCCGTTCCCATCGCAGACTGGGATGAGGTCATTCCGGCCCCAAAGCTTAACATTCATGTCGCCTCCATACTCGTCTTCCTCATAGCTGTTGCTTGCTTCTCAAATAGCTGTTCTGGTGATTTTGTGTTTGATGATCAAGAAGCAGTCATCAATAACCAAGTAGGTTGACAATAACATCTGGTTAATTTATATTAAATTGAGTGTAAAGCTCTATTATTCATAAGCGTTTTATAGAAATGTTTGTTTTGTGGTAATTGGTAGCTTTCTGATTGAATAATGATAGCATGAAATATAGATAGATATATAATAGTAGATAGGTATAGAATAAGTTACAGATGAATCAGTCACTATCTTTACCTAATAACTGTTGTTTCAGGATGTCAGGCCTGATGCCCCTCTTCATAAAATATTCGAAGATGATTTCTGGGGAAGTAAGCTAAAGTCAAAGACAAGCCACAAGTCTTATAGACCAATAACTGTTCTGACGTTTCGGTATGTGTATATGTAGAGATTGTTGCACCACTTAAGTGTGTAGAAGTGCATGTGTACATACATAGGTGACTATTATCATGTTTCAATACTGCTTTTGCATTTATATATATATATATATATATATATAATATATATATATATAGTACAGTGTTTTCCCCGCCTGCAATTTGACAGGCGATGACCCTGGCCTTTAGGCCAAAAAGGCACGTGCCTGCACAAATCATTTTTTTTTAAAAGGTTAAAAAAATGCAGCATACAAAATTTGGTGTGTGTGTGTGTGTTTGTGTGTGGTGAGAGAGGAGCGCAAGTGTGTTCGTCTGAGTAAGCGCGCCATATGTGCAGGGGTCGAAATTAGCGGTAATCCCCGATATCCGCTGGATAACCAGAGTCTGTGCGGGATAGCCAGATTTCAATGGCTTGGTATCCCGCCTGGGATAGTAAAAAAAAAATCGTCAAACATATATCCGGGATAAGTGTTGTTGAGTTATCAACTTTATACGGCAAGCGGCATCTGAGCAAGTGCCGAGAGCGCGAGTGCGCGGCCCTAGTTACTAATTTACTGATGTCACATCTAGCGGTTTAATACACAGGCATAGTAATATTTGCAATCGCAAAGCGGGCCGGATGTTGATATAAAATTGTGAACATGTGAGTATACCATGCATTGTATCATGATTGTAGTCAAGCGAACGCAGAAAAATGCGTCTAGACAATACGTCGGCAGTTACTGTGGGCGTATGTAAAATCAAAGATATTGTAATATACTAACACACTGATGTGTATATATACTATGGTAAAATGAAATGCTCGGGCGAATTGGGCACTCACCACTAATGATTAACGCGGGAAGCGAGATTGTTTATATATTAATTACATTAGATATTTAATAATTTTCAAATGCTATTAATTCATATTTTACAAGATTTTTGGATACCAACATTGTTGAAATTACTAGTCCAAAAAATCCGGGATACCAGAGATGCTTGGGGGGATACCATATTTCAATACCTGTATCCCGAATGGATAACCATAAATAAAAATCTAGTTCGACCTCCTGATGTTGTAGTGTGGGGGGGGGTCATTAATAATGATCACCAACAGACACATACTACACACAAACACACACGCACACATTTTGACAAAGTAACAGACAAGGACGTAGTATAAATACTACGCCTTGTATAACAATTTAAGTAAGCTGTATGAGTTCATTTATTCTACTAAGTATTCCTCAAAGTGGCGATTCATGGGGGGGGGGCTAGCCACCCCCTTCTGTTGAATAAACAATATTTTTACACATATACCAATTAATTATTGCCAAATATAATAGTCGCGCGGCTGTACAAAATGGCACCTGATGCATGGGTTAATTATGTAATTGAGAGGCGATCCAGCAGGTTACAACCCTTTTGCAGCTTTTTCACAATTCCAAGAAAGAGTTTTGCTGTTTGCTCACCCCCTACATATTCAATAATAAATGAGACCTAAACAATGCCCCCACTGTACATCAATCAATGCCGCGCTACATTTACAGTAGAATTGTTCTACTAAAAATAGAATTGTTGTAGTCAGAATGAAGGCTGTACATGTACTCAAAAGTACCTCAAATACCATCTCCTGCGGTCTACATTTTCAACGTTTTCTGGGGGAGGTCCCCCACACCCCCGCCTGTTTTTCAGTTCTTCCTGCACATCGTTGACGGGCTAGCTACGCCCCTGATTGACACGGGCGAGGCGGGCCGTGTCGCTCAAATTCTCAGCCGCCACACAAATACTTGTCCAAAACACTGCCTCGCTAACGAAAATCTCATACAATGTGTTCAGAATAGCTTAGAATGTGGCAAATTGCACAATTTTTGCAAAAAATTTCTTGAGGGGGGGCATCGCTTTGCTAGGACCTCGGAATGTGCGAAAAAAAACACCCAAAAAAATTGACCACACATACCTTTTTGGCCCTGTATATATCTGTACTAGTGGCTTAAATGCCACATTCCTTCACATATATTAATGTTGTTTCTAATCGAATTCATCCATCAGTCTCTTTCATTCCTATCCATCAAATAAATTTATGATGTTTTTTACTGCAGTGTGCTGATGTTCTTGTCATCCTTGTCACAGTCTGCTAATTTACTCGGTACAGTGGCGCAATCTTCTACACCTCAGGTCTTACGTTTGGTTGCAGGCTCAATTACTACATGAGTGGTGCCTTAGTACCATGGGTTTTCCACTGCACAAACATCGTCCTGCACGGTGTCGTGTGTGCGCTGCTGCTGCGCATCACCAGCGCGTTGCTGGGTGGCGTGAGGTTTGACGCGGCGGGCGAGAGAGAGTTTGCCGCGCCGCGATCCTCGCTCCTCGCCACGCTGCTGTTCGCACTGCATCCCATCCACACGGAGAGTGTGAGTACCGTCTTCTAGCGCCGCCGCCTGCGATGTAGTTATCATTTATCATGACTTGTTCACCTGTTCGTCGGAGCATGGGCTGGGCACCACACCCTGTTGGAGATTGTTGATAGGCTGGTCAGGCTAGATGTAGTGCCTGCACCAAATCTTTGCCTTGTTACCTTGCTTTTTTGCGAACTTTGTTACTAAGGAATGTTTTTCGATCACGCAAATCACAGTGCTTATTTGCTCGAGCTACCTGGCAATTGCTTTAGGAAGATAAGTCAATTTTATGCCTATAATAATTTTGCCCAATTGTGTTGTAACATTTCTTAGTCCCGCATATCATCCATTATAATATGCTGCTAACACATCGGGGAAATGAAGTGAGTAGCTATCTGAACACTTCTGTCACCTTGAAAATATACTAGGGCATGTTATTGAAAAATGAGAGATCTTTTACGAGCTGGCATTCTGTCTCTTATCGGTGCACTATTCATAAAATTGAAGCATGCTATCAATATTTCATCGGTAATGAGAATGTAAAAGTTTGGCCAGCGTTGTGTAAACATTTTACTAACCATCTCCCTCCTGTAATATAATTATTAGGACATAAAGATTTGACATGCCCTAGATTAATGGGTTTTCCTCACTATAAATGTACATGGGAATGATTTATGTGATATAATTGGTTGTTGGTTGGTTGGACCCAGCCTATCGTAAGTGCAAAATGCTGTATAAAATAATCAATTATTCAGCACTCTCAGTTGCTTTAGTCATATTAGATGCATTTTTGCTTTCCATTGGGAAAGCATGAAATGCTTTAGATTGTTATTGTGTTCGGGAAAATTATCATATTTGGTGTTTAATGCTAAGCTTCTTGTTCTGCAGGTTGCAGCGGTCGTGGGGCGAGCTGAGCTTCTGTGTGCCTTGTTCTTCCTTCTCTCGTTCCTGTGTTATATTCGTAGCTGTTATTCAGGTGAGGCACTGCTTTCTTGTAACAGCCAGTTGATTTTGCTGAACAATAATATTGTGCAACTTAGTTATAAGCTAGAAGGTTGTAGTGCTAATAGAGAAAGTTTTACCGATAAACAAGTTTTAAACACAAGTGTTATTTTTAATTGCTATTAGGAATGGTATTTTTCATCAAGTGTGCTTAACAATATGTGTGTTTTCTTTTCAGATATAGAGTATGCTGTGATATCAACTGTACGTCCACCAACCTATTCAGTTTTCTGGCTATTGTTGTCTGTTACATTCAGTTTTCTATCCATGCTGTCAAAGGAGCAGGGCATAACTGTTATTGTAAGTTATTGTGAATATCAATATTAAGTAGCTTATATTGGTAGCACTTGTTTTAAGTGATTATCATCACAAGTGCACATCACATAAGCGTAGAAATTATCGGGAATACATTCTATTGCTGTAATTATGCTCTTGTCATTGATTGTCTGGATTCCTCTATCATATGGTCTTGATTGTATTCTGCATATTCTTTTCCTAATATATTATATGATCTAATCCTGTCCAATTATATTCGTATCCTAATATTTTTTCTTAATCATGTTTCTCCTGTCTTAACCCCATCTTGACCTTATGTTGTAATATCTTAGCCTCGTATCGATTCTCGAGCAGTAATTTAGACTGGGTTAGCCACCTTGCGATTCGCGGTAACATGTGTCTCTCACTCTGTGTACTTTCAGGGAGTTTGTGCTGCCTACGACGTGATCGTCGTGTGCAGGGTTGACTTCCTCAGTTCTATCAGGCCAAGCAGACCTTCCTCTGAGCCTGCTTTAGATGTGAGCGGTAGCCGAGGCAGCACGCCTACAAGCACTCCCAGAGGAACGCCAAAAAACAGTCCCATGCACGTCAGAAAGGTTTGCGAATAAGACATCTTATAAAAGACGTTTCGGTCTATCGTGGGGGGCTGGGTTATGTTAATGCCGGACGTTAATGGCCCACGTTTGATTTGAACTACCATATGTTACTGTGTCATAGCCCTCCCGTTTTAAAGACAAGCTAAAATCTCTGGGTTGAGAATGCGTCATTTTTTCGCATATGTCGCGTGAAAGTAGGTTGTTCGTCATACTATTGACATGTGTGATGACCCGGCAACCATTTCCAGCACTTTTTCCAATCATTAAGAACTGTCATCCCATTAAAGTTAACGTCGCGAATCTAAGCACGCGAAAATCACCTTCACAGTTTGACTTTCGCACGGTAAAACACGGTACTCCCCTAGAATTCATCGTACATTCAGGGACTCCGGACGAACACGCATGCAGTCAGATGCAAACTGTCCATTCTCGGTTCAAGCTAGTTCATAGCCAATTTCATAGCCCGTTCTCGCGCTGAGGTTCGTTCTGATTCAAGCTTCTTCTCCCCGTTGTCGCGCTGAGGAGGAATATTCCCCGCTGCTGTTTCAGGAGCCGACGGAGTGGCGCCACTGTCTGCTGCACCGGCTGGCCGTGCTGACGCTGTGCGCGGTGGCCATGCTCGTGCTGAGGTGGCAGATCATGGGATCCGCACCGCCAAACTTCCAGTGCTGGGACAATCCGGCCGCCTTCTCACCTAGTCTTCTCACGCGGGTCGGTAGCTGTTCTCCCTGTCGGAAATCGCGTCGCGAAATGTTGTCTCGTTCGTTATTTACACGCGCACAAAGTCTGTTTGCTTATTCATTTGTTGTTTCCACAAGCGAGGTATTAGGATGTGGGTATGGTGTGGCGAGGCACGAGTGAGTGGTGAGTAGGGTGGTGGGTGTCAGCGAGGGTCAGACATGGTGGTGTGGTGTCGGTAAGGGGCAGGTAGGACAGTCAGGTATCTGTTAGACGTTGCATTTGGTTAACTTGTCCTGCTAGATGTGAAAATAGAAGATGCGAAAAGTGCAGCACAATGAGATTAGAGATTAACACAATTTCTTGTTGTTGTTTTTTTCTTCAGTTTATCAATTACAACTACCTGTACACACTGAATGCTTGGTTGTTGCTAAACCCAACCTGGCTGTGCTTTGACTGGTCCATGGGCTGTGTGCCACTCATCGAGTCAGTATGGGACCCTAGGATCCTGGCGGTCCTCGTCTTCTGGGCAGTGCTTGGCTATCTAGTGTGGATATGTGTGTGTGAACCGCCTTCAGAAGACACAAGGTATGTCGTTTGACACATTAATGTGGGGCAGCGTCCTTTCTCTTTTTGTTGTTGTTATTGTTGTTGTCAGTTTTGTTGTTCCTCTTCTTTATTTTCTTCTTCTTTTTTTCTTCTTCCTTTTCTTAGTGCTTGTGCATTTAGTGAGTGTTACAAAGTTTACACAATGCCACAACAATGGAAGTTGCAAAGCATGATGCCACTCATTTCTGTATTAAGTAAATAACAGGTTTGCTTATGATGACACTGGATTCTGTGTTAAATCAACAACAGGTTGCTCATGATGACACTTGCTTCTGTATTAATTAACAGGCTGCTGATGACGACACTCACTTCTGTATTAATTAACAGGTTGCTCATGATGACACTCACTTCTGTATTAATTAACAGGCTGCTCATGATGATGCTGGCGTTCCTCGTCGTGCCGTTCTTGCCCGCCTCCAACCTCTTCTTCACGGTGGGCTTCGTCATAGCCGAGCGTGTGCTCTACCTTCCCAGCATCGGCTACGCGATGCTCTTCGTCTTCACGCTCAAGGCCGCGCTGCACCACGACGACGACTGCGAGCGCTCGGCCGCGCGACGCCACGTGACCACGAGCACGTACAACAACAACGTGCCGCCGTCCGCCACCGCGGGCGAGGACGACGGGTGCAAGGCGGCGAACGGCAGAGGAGGGGGAGGGAGAGAGGGAGGGGAGGAGCGCGGCGTGGGAGATTTTAGCGACTTCACGGCGTCACTCGTGCAGGTGTGCACGCTGTTCCTGCTCGTCGTCTTCTTCATCAGGAGCGTGCAGGTGCGCCACCTACACTCACCCGGCAACGTGCCGGGGAGTTACTACTTCTGTATATATATTTAATATATCTAAATAGTACGTATTTTTTTATTATGCACACATTTATTTTACTGTAAGATTTTCAACTATGCGCTAGCTTTGTTAAATCATGAATCAAAAAAATTTGTTGAATCATTGTGTAATGTGTTCTCTTTCGATCGTCGCAGAGGAGCGCGGAGTGGAGGAATGAAGAGTTGCTGTTTAAGGCCGGCGAGCGTGTGTGCCCGCTCAACGCCAAGGTGCACTACAACATCGCCAAGAACACGGCCGACGCCGGCAACATCGCCGCGGCGATCGCCAGCTACCGAGAGGCCTTGAGGTAACCTTCCCACTGCTGCCACCACGTGGTGTTACGTCTACCGGATGGGGTTTGTTTGATGGCAGTGCGAACATGTAGACATGGCTGCAGCACAGGCTTTGCGTGCAGTTCGATACATAACTTTGCCGTGTTTTCTCTGTGCAGATTGAACCCGAGGTACGACCAAGCGATGAACAACCTAGCCAATATTTTGAAAGACATGGGGAGAGAGATGGAGGCTGAGCAGCTGTTGCTGAGAGCTGTGGAGATCAGGTGACATAATATAAACGTGTTAATATAAACGTGTGGGTAGCTTAGTTACAGTATAATCATATATGATCATGCAGTGCTCGAAATAAGCGTTGTCCGGTTGTCCGAGACAACCAGAATTTGCGCCGGACAACCTAACCAGTCTGAGACATTGTCCGGTGGACAACCAAGAAAAATGTGACGAAAAACGCACTTTATTTATGTTTTTCTCAGGGGTTCTCCAAGAGCACTTATAGCCTGGCGGCCCACCATTAATCTATGGTGTGGGAAAGCGACGCATACCAGCTGCTATTTCCAACACTGGTATATGTCAGGTTTTCTGATTTATGAGAGGTGAACTCGATTTGGAACCAGCAAATCAGCAAGTTCACCCCTACATTTTGGTATTTTTATTCCATTATTATTTTGAATTTTCCGATGGCTTTGCCCATGCAAAACAAACAACAGTGGGGATTCATGTTGATCTGAAAGTTAAAAAAAGAGAATTGTCGTAGTCAGAATGAAGGCTGAACATGTACTCAAAAGTGCCGCAAATACCCATCTCCTGCGATCTACATTTTCAAAATTTTCTGGGGAGGACCCCCATACCCCCCCCGCTTGTTTTTCACCCCTCCTCCTTGGAATCCTAGATCCGCCACTGAACAATTACATATCTTGGGAGCAGAGAACAATGAACAAAAATGTCGCCTTTTCGCATGACACCCAAAACAAAGATTGCAGAGAAGGTAGAGGAGCCGTAGGGTGTGGAGAGGGAGGCGGAGGAGCCATTAAAATATTAAGTCATCCACTATTTTGCGCAGTTCGCTGTTTTTGGCCCCCCTTGTTAAAAAATCCTGGCTACACCAGTGTTTTTGGGTGTTTTCTGACCATATTATTATGTGATTGAAAATAGGAGATTTGGGGATATTTTTTTGGGGCAACCAGAAATTGTTGCGGACAACCGGACAACCACATTTTTTTTCTTATTTCGAGCACTGATCATGTATGTATTTGTTCTGCTGACCCAAGTGTCTGTGGAAACCGCTCGTTATTAGTTTGAGTAATATGTTCAATTTTCCATTATGAAAACACCGTAATAATTGCACATTTCCTTACTATTCCTTTTCTTGCCAGACTTGCCTATAGCATAGTAAACTAGAAATAGAACTGTAGCTAGCTATCTACTGTAACTAGCCATCCTTCATGTTTTGATGGTTTATATTAGACGTAATTTCCACACGTTCTAAGTATTCTTACTGATTGCGCCATCAGGGCTGAGTTTTCTGCAGCATGGATGAACCTGGGGATCGTGCAGGCAGGATTGGGTAAGAGTGAAGAGGCACTTCAGAGCTACTTCACTGCCATCAAGCACAGGAGGAAGTATCCAGACTGCTATTACAATCTGGGAAATTTGGTACGTACTCAGCATGTTATACGCAAGAAATTTCAAGTTCATTAAACCTTTGTCACTCGATGCTGCGTGAAACCGACCAATTTTGCTTGTAATTCAATGTGAACGTGATTGATAGCCAATTTTAATGTGAGCCTCCTGTTATTCTATTTTATTTTTTTACTGTTTCTGTTTTATGATTATAAAATATGGTATATGTACATAATAATTATAAAAGCACGTAGTTTAATTAAATTAATTAATTTCCATTGAAAAAAGAAAGCTCACTTATTTAATTTTATGGTAATGCTTATTGACGTTTTACAGTATTTAGAGATGAAGGAACATGACAAAGCTTTGAAGGCATGGAGGAGTGCAACCATTTTGAAGCCAGCACATATCAATGCGTGGAATAACATGATTATCCTAATGGATAATCTTGGTAAGCAGAAACTAACTGATAACATATCACCATCATCAGTACAAATAAATTAATTTTTACAACTTACTATCCAACGTCTCTGTGTTTGTACAAGTCTGTAACATGCACGCACACACATGTACATAACATTTCATGCATTACAATGCACGTGGTACCTGAATCGTTTGCAGTGGAGTCATGCTGAGATTTTATTTGTCAGAATAAAATGTTACATTTATTTTATAATAAAGGTTCGACTAACAGATATTTAGTGAATTTTCGTGGTAATTTATTTTGTTCTGCTATGCGATTTTCTTACAGGAAAGTTGAAAAAAGCCGAAATGATTGGAAAGGAGGCTCTGAAGGTGTTGCCATCAGCTCCATCTGTCCACTTTCACCTCGGCAATATCCTGGGCAAACTCCCCAGATATGTAGAGGCCGAACAACATTTCAAAAAAGCCATAGAAGTGGAACCTCAGAATGCGAATTACTGGGGAAATCTAGGTATTGAAGTTTAATTATTTTATTATTAATTTAATTATTAACCATTAATAAATTCCTATGGATTCTATCAGTATCATTTAACCATTTTGGTGGCATACGTTAGAAGGGAGACTTGAATCTCCGCTCTTCATGATTTCAGATTTGAATTTTCTCATGCTTAGTGAATCCAAAGTAATATAAACGAACAAGTTTAACTAAAATACAGAGAGGACATATAGCTGCATTCTCCTGAGCTAATACGCTGTTCATAACCAACCTCCAGTATAATATTCATTTATATAAACACATTATTAAGCCATCCAGAGTTTGATGAATGTAATATTAAATATATGTTATGAATCCAAAACTAATTGTGATATCGAATAATGTAATTGGGGAGACAAATAGTGTGGATAATCAGATCTGCTGTGGCAGTGTAGTAACATACGGAGTGTTATAATATAGTCATAATATCTATATTATGAAACTCTTGATATATATTATGAGACTCGCTCCCGATATTATCTGGTGGCATTGTTTGGGTGGTGACGAGGGTCTTGCTACTTACAGCTGTTTTGTACCACCGTTGGGAGAAAGATGAGAAAGCTCTCGAGGCCTATCAGAAATCGCTGCAGCTGAAGCCAGATCTGGAGCAGACGCGTGAGAACCTCGTAAAGTTACAGCGCAAAATTGCGAAGAGGAAACTATAGCATTCACACGAGTTCTATCAGCAACTGCGTGGTAAAGATGAAAGCGTAGCATCTCCGCAGCAGAGTTCTGCTGCGCGCGTCAGCAACTGTATGGTGAATGTTGTTATAGATTGGTAGCGTTAGGTAGCAAATATATTTTTCAGGCTGGTTGGGTGTGTTCGATGTGTCAGGTAGATAGATTAAGACCGCGTTGTAATGGATAGATGGAGGAGTCCTGTTGTGTCAGTACTGAGCCTGGTGTTGTCAAATTCGCTATTTGTCATTTAGCATTTGTTATGGCTAATACATTTTTTCACTTTCTTCATCCTATCCTTCTCTCTCCTCTCTCTCTCTCTGTTTTCTCTCTCTCTCTCTCTCTCTCTCCCCGCTCTTCTCGTCTCACATACATCGCTCATCTCGGAATGATCTTCTCCACATACTTTCTCTCTCGTCACCCTCCTTCTCTCTCCCCTTCCTCTACCTCCCGCCTCTCTCTCTACTCTCTCCGTTCTCTCTCTCTCTTTCAATCTTCCGTTGCTTCTCCTATCTCATTCTCTTTTCCCCCTCTTTTCCCCTCTGACTGCCTTTCTTTCAATTTTTAAAAAGCCATGCCATTGAAGGAGAAAGGTTATTGGGTAGTGGAGAAGCAAAGTGCTATATTGTTGTGAAAATAGTGTAACATAATGTTGAGCATTGTGAATAACGTATGCAACGTATATAATGTCTGCAAAATATTTCTTGGACAAAATGGCGTTAAACTGCTTGAATTGCATCTTACGTCTATGAATGGATGTGTGTGTATGTTGTATTTAGTGAAAAAAGCAACCATGTGTTCGCTAACCAGGTGAAAGGTAAACCTTAACTTATATTTCTATGCTATAATAACCGGGTTAACACGACGAAGGCTTAGTGACGGGCCTATGTTTTGTTGAATGTAAATTATATTATTTTTCTATCGATCGTTGTGTGAAATTATAGTGCTCTTTATCTTGAAGAATTTGCATTCGGTAATTAGCTTGTGGTTCCAGCCACTCGGGCGAATGAATGACTACAGAAAGTGAGCTTACTTTAAATCTACAACACTATTTCCTTCCATATTTGTATGCAGGTAGAAACGCCAACTGTGCTTTTGGTATCCCGTGTTTGTATAAAAAGTACATTTGTGACATGTGTTTAAGTATATCGTACTGTGTGTGAGCATTCGTTACAACTCGCAATAGTTGCAAAGGCTACATAACAAGCATAATCAATGGTGTATGATCAATGATATTATATGTGTATTATCAATGATATTATACTAGATCCTGTAACTTGGTGAGATTACTCGGGGTTATTGGACGTCGTTGTTGTACAGTCAACTCTTCTACTAGGCTACCACTGTCGGAATTTTTATCTGAAGCTCGTTGTGGTTGATATGATGTGGGCCACATATATACATTTTTGATGAAACCCCCGTCTCCACATTCTATCCCGTAAGTCCGATCAACCAGCCAACCAGAGTTATTGTTTTATAAATACTAACAATTACGTCGTGAATCGGTGTACATTTTTAACCAGGAATTCTAATTAAGATAGTATAGGCATTTAATCACTACGTCGAAGTACTTCCACAGTACGATATGTGTCTCGTAGTTGATATTTTAGCTATATTTGAATGTGTCAGTGAGTAGTCTTTCTGCCCGCGCTATTTAAACATACCAACCTGCCAGGTTTCTCCCTCCAGCTCCCATCCTGCCAAGACCCTCCCTCCGGCTCCCATCCTGCCAAGACCCTCCCTCCAGCTCCAATCCTGCCAAGACCCTTCCTCCAGCTTCCATCCTGCCAAGACCCTCCCTCCAGCTCCCATCCTGCCAAGACCCTCCCTCCAGCTCCCATCCTGCCAAGACCCTCCCTCCAGCCTACCATCCTGTCAAGACCCTCCCTCAAGCTCCCATCCTACCAAGAGTCTCCCTCCAGATGCTGGTTCCGTGTAGCCGTACCCCTAGTGCTAACCTCACATAATGAGCGTGCAATTCTAGTGAGGTTCCACTTGTGTGGGTTCTATTTCTTGTCGCTCATAAAATGTCGGGTTGTGTCTTAACCCCACCCCCTACCAGCTGACTGTGGGCTGTCGTGAGATCTCAAATGTTAACATCACTGCCGCAGGAGATGGCAGTTCCTCTGCTAGAGACTGTAAGCATATCATCCAGCGAATTTTAGCCGCGAGCTTGTGTGATTCGCTCTCATTTTGTTATACGATTTTCCACGAATTTTACTCGTGTATTTTGTGCGCGCTGTGGTTTTTGCAGTGCTGCTTGCGGCGCGAGCGTGCTTTTATAGTTGTTCTGCGCTGGGTATAGTTAGTACAGGTTCTATTTGTAGCAACGAACGTGGTGTTGAGAGAATATGCCGGTCTAAACTCAACTGCAGGGTAATGTATATAAAGCAGCGAATGACGTAGACATTGCTGATGTTACGTGCTGTAGTCACGATGAAAGGACTCGGTTGTGCTATAAATGTGTAACTCTAGGCATGATTGATTTGAGTTTAAATTGATAGTTTTATATAACAGGTCTGTAAAATTGCCCTAGAAGCGATTATCGTGCAGCTAACTTCTTTGCTAGCTTCGTTCTTGTCAGCAAGACTGTCAGATATCTAGCGTAATAGGAATGGTAACCCTAGTTTTGTAATTCGTCGAGCAGTGACAAGTTGATGCGTCTACTACTCTAGATTTGTCGAGCTTGCTTCGTTGTCCATAGCAGATAAACACCTCCGTTCCTGTAAAATCTATTTATTCCTACTAAAACATACTAAATATGTACAAAACGTATTTTTCTAATGATTGTGAAAAACAGTAGAGAAATAAAAATGATACTATTTTAGAAACTAGTTCTTTTGTACATCTGTTTAGGGTCTTGCTATCAACATTCCCTGCTTTTTATCCGTTGATACTATACCTATACAACATCTAATTTGAGCCCGTTTGTCCTCCTAGAGATAAAGCTTCCTATACAAGCCCAGTTATACTTACAAATTAATGTACACTGGTACTAAGTACCCTTACTCATGCAAACAGTGAATGTGATATCTTAGGCAGATAACATACAGATATGCAACGAGATAACGTCGACTCTGAGCGAAGCTATCAAATGCACGCGGATTATATTAAATATCATTCAGAAGTCGAGTATTTGTATTTCGCATGTCTGGAATGTCTAGGTAATTTACACATTCCTCCGAGTTAATAAAAAAAATACAGAAATAACACGAGTAAACATTGATTCAGCTGCACTACGTCCGCACGTACAAACACGTTCTAAAGAGATGCTTAGATGCGATCACAGACAACATCTAAATACATCAATGATGACTATCAAACTTTGATTAACTATCAAAGTATGACACTTGATAAAAGCTCGTAATGCAGTAAGTAGGGGTACAAATTCCCTACAAATTAAATACGTCTCTCTACCAGCACGGTATATGATACACAAGCAGGTATTCTTTATCGCTCGTTGATGAACAAATGCTGAAATCCTCGCAGCCTCGTGGCATCTAAATCTTGCTCATGGATGGCACTTTCGATGGTGACATCAGATGACTCTGAAGATTGAAATGTACATAAACATTAGACAAACGTTCTAAGAAAAGTGTAGCCAAAAGTGCCTACGAAAATCTGAATCATCCTTAGCCATTTAATTGTTAATAAGTGTAAAGTATATTTCGAATACCAAATCATGATTGGTTTTAAAGCCTCCTGACTGTCCGAAATTTCTAATGAATCCCGCAGACGAACAAGTTCAGCTGAACCCCCCTACAGATACTATTCATATATATCCCCGATGATACGAAATGTGTGCATCATATTGAGCACAAAGGTAATGTACCCAGATACAAAAAAGGGGTAAATCTATTTACCGTCTGCCACTTCTCCATCAGCTTGTTGTACTCCTGCGCATAGAATTGGAACACTTCATCGCAGTCTTTACGCGCGTCGTGGTCACTCGGGTTGTACAGCTGACAGTTGGTCTTCACCAGCAACATGTCCGCGTGGAATTCGTCAAAGTTGCCGTACTGTCCTGCCTGAAAGTTAATAATATAGCCATCGTCTGTCATCCGCCTCATGGTTCATCACAGCGAATGACAAATAATATCACAGCGATTTAAAGAAAATCGAAACTTCAAACACTCGAATATTCAACTCTCGTGTGATATTATAACAGACGTACGGGGTTCTATACAGTCAAGCAGCTCACATGCTTATTTGCAAACTTTTACCATACGTGCAAAAGCTTACTTTAAGTTTGTTCCTAATGGTACTGAAGTCCATTGGCGTCTTGATGATTTTCAGATACTCAGGTGCCTCTGATAGGTCAACTACATAAAAAACAACCATAATAACATGAATATACAGCATAAAAGTATGGCTTTGGCTGGACACCGATCTTTACAACAGGAGGACATAAAGCCCGGCGCACACGTGAGTTATTTTACTCAAGTAAAATGACGCATGAGTCAAATTACTCGACGAAAATCCGCCGTACACGTGAGTAAAATGACGCATGCATCAAATTACTCAACGAAAATCTGCCGCACACGTGAGTAAAATGACTCATGCGTTATTTTACTTGAGTAAAATAACTCACGTGTGCGCCAGGCTTAAGGGTCTTATATCCTTATTTCCTTATTGCACTCCTGATTGAAAATATAGCTAATGCTAAATTACATAATCGAGTCATATATTTTTACTGCTGCATATAACACATTGCTTCGTATGCATAGAAACGAGCTTTAGTCTGGTGATAAATTGCTAGTTTATCAGATACACACAAGTGAACAGGAATGACCCCTCGCACACGCCATCACCTACTACCAGTCGCGTGGTGAGTAGACTTCATTAACGACTCACCGGGTTTGTTGAACCAGTCGGCAGCATTGAGTTCACCCTTCATGCGACCCACCCCTCTGTAGCGGGATACCTTCTCCAGTAACCTACAGCAGCACGTCACAGTAAAATTAAAACGCTCTCAGTTTATTCATTTTCATACAAAAATTAATTTAATTCTACATCATTTTATACATATACAGATTTTTGTGAAATGACTGTGATTACGTAAGCGCTCACTAATTTTATGAATCGATTCTGATGTTTGCTCGATTCTTCACATTTTACGTGATATTTTGTGGGAAGATTTTACTTATTTACTAAGACACTTATTCAAGAATGCTCGCCTTCTATATTGTGCCGATGCTTACCCCATCGCAGCCCTAACCCAGCTGCCACCGCTCACTGATCCTTGGCTGCCCTCATCCATCTTTCTTTTGCGTGTGCGTGAGATTAATTCCGCAGGCAATGCATACCCAACCTTCTCTGTGATGGAGCAAACATGCATCAGTACGTTTTCTTACTGAACCTTATTATATCGTTCTACACGTATCATTTCAGATAGCGTATATCATTCTGTATGACATACATTATTTCGTATATCATATTTTGGTCTGTTTCAATCCAGAAAATGTATAGAGTATGGTATAACATGTATCATTTTGTATAACATATACCACTCTATGTAGGATGTGTTATACTTTGTAATGTATATCATGATGTGTAGCATGTATCATTCTGTCTAGTATATCTTTCTGATTCAAATATATTGCTACATAAACGTACCAAACACGTATCAAACATTACTGACAACAACACTAAGGAAAATGTGCTATGATATCGCTAAGCTGTCTACAATGTGGAAAAATAAGTAGTCATCACGCTTACTAGTATCACTGACGGCAAAGTATTCAGTCTCGGCTAGCCTCTGACTAGTAAAGTCCTCGACGTTCATGCTGGACGTATCCAGCCCACTCGATATTACCGTCACGGAAGTGCCAGCTGGCTCGCCCATCACCAGCTGTGTTGACATGGCCGGCATCGCGACCACATCCGCTTGTGCTAGGGCAGTAACGGTCGTCAAACGACTCTTTGCATCAGCAACTGAGAAACAGGAAACAAGTGCCGCAGAGCGACAGCGCTCATCTAACGTCTACTGCGGTGACTCTGTGGTGGAGTGGTGGGATTCTAGTAAACCCTGTTGTAGGGTTTCAACCAAATATTTGGTTCTTGCGAGCGAGTGGAGCACGCCGAAACATTTGGACAGGTGCACGAGGGGATGTAATCCATAGGAACCCTCTCAAAATGACATGTTCGTTGGGTCTCGGTTTATTGCACGAAGTTGCCACGATCGATGGCGCGTACGTTTAAGTGTCTTCAAGATTAAAGGATGGAAAGCTCCCATCATAGTAGTAGCATACAACTATCGGTGCAGTAGACAGTGATAGGTAAGCACCGATCCATTTTTTACCCTCACGCCAAACACCGCTACAGGGTTCCTTCCGCCAATATGGAACTGCAACCTGATAGCGCACTTTTCCTGCCGCATGTTGGTGGCTCTTAACATACCCTGCTCTCGTAGACCACACTTAATTGGCCAAAAAAACTCCCACAGTAGGCGGATCCAACACATGCACTGGAGTAAGCCCACTTCTTGGTGCTAGCTCGGCATACGGTGTCACGGTGTACACATAACTGACAGGTGTACAGCAAATTGCCCATATTAAATTATACGATTTATAGGAGCCATAAACCTTCTTTAATCCAAATTTAGCTTTTTCGAAATTTCACGTGTCTCGACATTTTGTAGCCTCATGAATCCAGGGCACCGTTGTATAGATTATCTACTAGCAAACCCGGGCTAGTCCAACATTCTTTCTAACACGCACCCCAGTACATCAAAATTCCTATGGTAGTACTTACACCCATCCATCTTGCAATGTCCAAAAAGGTTATCTTGTACACTTTACTCTTCGCCATCGTCAGCAGAAAGTTAGATTTCCATGGTCCTTTCAATAATGCCATAGACTAGATGCTAGCGTCACCGTGAATACAATAAAAAGTTTTCCTACATCGCTCCGTCAGACGCATTGTCCTTCAGAAAATGTCTAAATCTGCCGGCTGCCATTGACCTTTTGAGCCTGTGACCTCCAATTTCGGCATACCTCTCCTCAGTTGGCACTTCTCTCGGTTTTTTCTCCTTACCCATGATGTCTACTTCACTCACTCCGCACTATCCACGAGCCTAGGTCGCAGCCGTTTAGATGATGTTGCCGCAATTCGGCATTCCTCCCTTTAGACTTTAAAAGTTAAGGATTCGTGAATGTTCTCCCTTCTTTCTGTGACACCTTCTTTTGACCTTTGGCGAGGCCTTTGACCCCCAGTGCTGCTCGAAGAACAACTTAACCCAACTCGTCTTTTGGAGCGGATTACCCCGCCCCACGTCCCGAATTATCTGTGACCGTACGCGAGCGGTTAAGATTTGTGCGGGGTCCCAAATATACTGGTTGACGGGACGCTCCGAACGCTCGCACGCATCTCGTTTCGCGAACGGTCCTGCTACTTGCACGGTCTGGCCTCTCTCCTCTTCTCTCTGCTCACGGTCTCTCTGCTCTGGATCACTCCGGTACGGAGATCATGCGATTACTACCAAGCTAGCCATCTGCACTCATGTCAAGATGAGCCTAAAACTATGAGCACGCTATCATATGGCACTTGCTGCCCTTTAAACCGTACTCGCATATTACATAGGCATTATATATGAACACTTTAATATGTATATGTAATCATATATGATATAATGTATACTATCATTTGCTGCCATTGTCTCATATTACTTGTCATTATAACAATGGCTAAAGAATATGTGTGTGTGTGTGTGCGTGCGTGCGGACGTGTATCTATATAAACTCAGCTTAGACTGTCAGTTTGCATTCACTTTACAATCTAAACTGGAGCAACAACAGCAAAATAGTTAAAACGAAGCACCGTAAGACGGTCGCAACATCACGCAAGAACCGCGAGCTTGTAGCGGCCACGCCAATCGGTCACCTACCTTGCGGCGCTCGCCCCGCGTTCGTCCCGGCACCCGTCACGATCGCTCCCAGCCCCGTAAGCTCGCTCATCAGGTTGCCGTGTCGAGACGGGGCGCCATCGCCGGCGCTCAATCGCCGACCGGCGTCCGACGATTCGCCGGCGCCCGCCGTCGTCTGCACCACCACCGCCGCGTCGCGCGTCGTCATGATCGCCTGCACGGCACTGGCGACGGTCGCTGTGTTATCGCACGGTGGCGCCTCCACTGCCGCCATGACGCCCGCAGTCTCCTGCTGCGCCGGCCGCTGCAGCTGTACGCCCGGATCCTGCAGCAGCGCGGCTCCCCCGCTGGATATGCTCTCTTGTTGAAGCTGGATGCCGCCAGAGGGCAGCGTCGTCACAACGAGTTGAACCGAGGTCGCTGGCTGAGCGATGGCAGGCAGCCGTGATGACTCCTGTCGGCCCGAGAGAGAGAAAGCAATGGCATCACGCGCGTAGGGAGCGAGCGTCGCACGTCGATCATCACGCGCGCGGATCGCCGGTGAACGATCCGACGGAAGAAATCTATTTTGCCCGACTGCGCTTCAGGAAGGATGCAGTGATGGTGCGTGGTTCAATACCTGCTGAGAGTTTGGATAGAAGAGACCGGTAGCCGGGTCTAACTCTGTAGCAGCCACGCCCGCGCTATCAGCAGCCACGCTAATGCCTGACCCATCTACGTACAGCTGAGCCTGCCCAGCAACAAGAGGCTGCTTATGCACCGATGGTGGCTCCACCTGGCACATGCCAAACCAAAAGCGATAAAGCTCTCGAAAATATCTGAGAACATTAACAACTGTACTTACTACCTACTTAACGACTAGGTACTTCTAAACAAAAATACAGGCATACGATTCGTGGGTAAAGTGATCTGACTAGCTAACCGAGACAGTAGACACAGACAGTAAACACCTGCTCACGTAATCCAGTCCCTCCATTACCGTGCACAACAACGACAACACTGGACCCGAGTTTTCGCAAACACAAAGACTCTGAGACTGCTTTGTAGTCAGTCACACAACAGAGTGCAATACCGAAGTAATACTCGTTTCCTTCGCTAGCTACAGGTGACAGTTACGTGTTTCGCTCTCGTGTGGCACTAGAGCGAGCCACGTGGTTACCCATACGACGTACGTTCTGGTCGGTGGAGACGGCGGCGCCTGAGATAACTTGCACCTCGTCACCTTCGCTCGTTAGCAAACCTTGCGAGAATAGGTCCGCTGCTTGCTCTGCAAAAACCCGTGTTAGAGATGAGAGCTGTAGATAGACTGTACACCAATCACGGGGCTGGGTGTTGGATGGGAGGTAAGTAATACATACATTATAGACCAATCACAGAACTGGGTGAGAGCTAGAAGGTGAATAATATATACTCTATAAATCAAACACACAGCTGGGTGAGATACACAGTAATACATTTCCTAAACCCCAAAAAGAGGGTAGCATTGAGCTAAGTAACAAGCTACTCATACCTACTCATATACAAGGTGTGGTAAGCTAAGGTATAAGCATTGCATACAAAATAAAGAAACAACACACTGAGTGAGAGGTAATAAATAATCACAAGCATACCCAATGTTGATGTAAAAGCCAAGGTAGCTTTTCCACATATCATTCACAGAGCCAAAGTCAGGGTTAAACGTAGTGAAAGCGTGAAAGGAATTAGTGAGGCATTATATAGTGATAAGCAACGCTCCAGGATTTTAGAGTGAAATGTACCTAACGTTAGATATTGACCCTGCAGCAGATCTGGTGTAGTGCTGTTTCTCTCCTTGCCACTTAGTTCTACCAGTGTTGTCATCGTTGAAGGATCAAATACACCATCCTCTCCTGCGGGAACGTTCAACACTGACCCGCCACTAGAGGGCATCTCGTACTGTATCCACTGACCTTGAAGTTCTGATGGACCTTGCAGAATGAAAAACGAAATATTTGATTGAAACATTTTGGCAATTTTAGCCAATTCAGTCTTTATCCCCCCCTTCTCTATCTGTACCTCTATAACACAGTGTCTCTCTCACCCCCTTCTCTCTCTTGTCTCTCTCTCTCTCTCTTTCTCACTCTATCCCTCTCCCTCTCTCTCTCGCTCTTTGCCTCACAATCTCTCTCTCCCACTCTCTCTCGCTCTTTGCCTCACAATCTCTCTTTCCCACTCTCTCTCCTCCATCTCATTTTCCCCCATTTCTCTCCCCCCTTCTCTCCATCTCTTTCTCTCTCTCTCACTCTCTCTCTGTCTCTCTCCTCCATCTCTCTCTCCATCTCTCTCTCTCTCTTTCTCTCCATCTCTTTCTCTCTCTCTCACTCTCTCTCTGTCTCTCTCTCTCTCTCCTCCATCTCTCTCTCTCACCAGGCGTGCGGTGGGCAGTCTGTGCCGCATGCACGAGCTCGCTCTCATTGAAGTCGTTTTCTCTCTCTCACTCTCTCTCTCTCTCTCTCTCTCTCTCTCTCTCTCTTTCTCACTCTCTCTCTCTCTCTCTCACTCTCTCTCCTCCATCTCTCTCTCACCCGGTGTGCAGCTGGCAGTCTGTGCTGCATGCACGAGCTCGCCCTCATTGAAGTCATTCTCTCTCTTTCTCACTCTCTCTCTCTCTCTCTCTCTCTCTCTCTCTCTCTCTCTCTCTTTCCTTCCTCACTCTTTCTCTCTCTCTCTGACTCTCTCTCCTCCATCTCTCTCTCACCCGGTGTGCGGTTGGCAGTCTGTGCTGTATGCACGAGCTCGCTCTCATTGAAGTCGTTCTCTCTCTCTCACTCTCACTGTCTCTCCTCCATCTCACTCTCACCCGGTGTGCGGCTGGCAGTCTGTGCTGCATGCACGAGCTCGCTCTCATTGAAGTCGTTCTCTCTCTCTCTCTCTCTCTCTCTCTCTCTCTCTCTCTCTCTCTCACTCTCTCTCCTCCATCTCTCTCTCACCCGGTGTGCGGCTGGCAGTCTGTGCTGCATGCACGAGCTCGCTCTCATTGAAGTCATTCATGACGCCGCTCTCCTCCCCGCCTCCGCCACCGCCGCCGCCCGCGACGTCGACGAACTCCCCCGCGCTCCGCGCGACGCCCCCTGGTGGTGGCACCGTCTCAACGATGCCCGCTGCCCGGATGAGGTCAGCCAAGATGGACGAACTGTCCTGCTCACCCAACTGTGACTGGCGTAGTGCGAAATGTGAATGTCAGAATAAATAAATTAATAATACTAATTGTAAATAATAACATTAATAATAACAATAATGTGTTATTGATAATAGATGATTATGTATTATTATTTATTAACTTATTAATTTTCATTACTTGAGACGCACGTTACGATTCACATCATCATATTAATCTCGAAGGAGACGAAGCATGGAAGTTTTTTCCCAAGATTTTAATGTGATTATTTCGAATATGTTCGAACAATCTTTACACTTTACCTATTTATTCTTTCTCATTAGTACAATTTATTAGTTACATCATGAATATATCTGCACACATATATAGAATATGGATATGTTAACGGGAACATTTCATTCGGGCTATCGTGGCCACATGCCGGCCTAGTGGGGAACATAACACACCTGTTGTTGTACTTGACTGGCTACCAGGCCTGCCTGTTGCTGGGCCTGACTCAACTCAGCTGCCGTCGTCTGCACAACTCTCACGCGCGTTTGTCTCGACTGACCGCTACCCACCGTCTCGATGGAATAGTTACTGCCCTGTGTCCAGTAAAAATATCAGCTGCTATTAAAAACGCTACTGTCTTGTTGGCACAATGTTCTAAACCATGTTAAAAAATACATGGTGCTATGAAAGTGGACATTAATAAGAAACACCTGCTTTGACATACTTTTTCATATTGATACCCGATACACTATCTCCCTCCCACAGACCTACCTAAACCACAACCGCTCCTTACTACACCACACATATAGATGCTGCTATGGTGGAACCAGGAGTGAATGACAATCCTTTCTATTCACTCCTGCTTCACTCACTTCCATACGCATACCCATACCTCCCCCGTAGCAAATACCCCAACCCCTTAACCAATACAACACCCACCTTAAACCCAGCACCCCCCACCCTGTTTCCAGTACTTGATGCACCTGCCACGCTGCTTCCCTCCTCCCTCGGAATCCACACCCATCTTAAACCCAGCATGCCCCCTGTTTCCAGTACTCGATGCACCCTGCCACGCCACTTCCCTCGGATTCTACCCTCGGCTTTCTCCCGAGGGCCGATGAACCCGCCACGCCACTTCCCTCGGATTCTACCCTCGGCTTTCTCCCGAGGGCCGATGAACCCGCCACGTCACTTCCCTCGTATTCTACCCTCGGCTTTCTCCCAAGGGCCAATGAACCTGCCACGCAACTTCCCTCGGATTCTACTCTCGGCTTTCTCCCGCGGGCCGGTCCACCCGCCACGCCACTTCCCTCGGATTCTACTCTCGGCTTTCTCCCGCGGGCCGGTCCACCCGCCACGCCACTTCCCTCGGATTCTACTCTCGGCTTTCTCCCGCGGGC